CTGGAAAATCAATAGATCTGAGAAGATAAACTGCACTGATAATTCCAGCTGCTGTTTTTCAGGAGCACTATGTTGCTGGAGGGCAGCAACTAGGGCTGGAATAAGTTCCAGTGTCAGAAAGCTTACTGTTCTCGGATTCAGCTAGTTTTCTTAAATAATTGCTCCCTGGATTAGGCAAGTCTTTGGTGAATTTCTTTATTAATAAAAAGTTGGGTCTAGCCATTTTTCCCAGTTTTTTCTGCTGTCGTTGTTCTTGTTATTGTTGCTATCATGCAGAAGCTAATTTTTGAAGGTCCTTTATCCTCTTTCTTCTTTGATGCCTGGCCAGAAATGGACTTTTAGGCTATCCTTTAATTTCTAAGGTCTCTCCAATATATTTAAAGACAATAAGTCACCTATTTCTTTGTTGTTTCTCAGCATTGTTTATATGTCGTCTCTTTATTATTGATGGGTCCAAATTATCATGTATAGTCAAAGATGAATACTTCTTTGTGATTAGCTACCTGAGGTAATTTTTAAAAAACAATATCACTCTATATCCAAAAAGTTATAAATGACTGAATCATATAATAAAATTATTGGTAGATAGGGGCTGTCTCTATTAATATTTGTTTTATTAGTACATGTTGGCAGCACACTATGTTTATGATCCTGGTGTGGAGTTGGCACATTTACATAGCCCTATTTTCATCCTCTTTTTCCCCTCCCAATCCCCTTCCCATTTTTCCCCTTCCCTGTCTCTCTACTTCCTATTATCTATCTTTTATTTTCCTCTTTATTTATAATTTGAGTTTCTTGTATGAGAGAAACCATGTGATATTCAAGCTCCTGTGTTTGATTTATTTCACTTCACGGTAGGGTCTCATTCTTCAGAAATAATTTATTTTTGAATGCTATGTTGGAGAGATGCATTTCAGGATGGAGGTGTTTTAGTTACACTTAGTGCAATGAAAAGTGAGATAAATATGATAAGCTGTGGAATATCCAGGACCATGGCACAAGTCTGGGCTGGCTGCACCTATTTGGGTGGAGCTTTAAAACACTGAGAGAGTTATCACGCCAGGATTTTATATTCATAGAGTGCGACTGCTTAATTTAACAGCAAGACCACAGCCCCCTTTCCCTACTTTTCCATAAACCATTATTAGTAGAATCTGAAGTTCATTATGTTTACTGCATGAACGAAACGGATTAAAACATTAAGAGAGAACGCAGATGAATATGTCCCAAGTCCATAGAGGAAATGGAAAACTTATCCCTAACAAAAAAGTGAAATAAGAGATAGATTTGCTCAGTTGGCTGAAACTTTTTAATTTAACTAAACTTTTTTCATTCTTCAACGTCTATTTAATTTTCCTGCACATCCACTTTTGGACATGTTGCATATCTTGTTTCTGTCTTACAACTTGTACTCCTTTATTTAGAAGAAAAAAGCTGACATATTTTTGGATTTTTCTTTTATCTTTAGACGATAGCTTCCTTTATCATGGTTTATCTCCTCATCTAGTTTACAGCATTGGGTACAAATCTCTGGTGTGTTTTCACCAGAAGTGTCCTGCATTCTTATGTAGGACAGTTCCCTGGGCAGCTAACCCTCAGCGCTGGCCTCTGCTGGCCGGCAGTGGCTTTCTCCTGTTACTCTTATGATTTGTTTTTGTCTTAACATCTCAGGTTGGACAAAGATATCACCTGTGTAGCACAAATTCAATGATAAATCTCACAGGAAGCAGAGGTCTTCTGACCCAATGGCCTTTTTTTCCCTTTTTAATACCAATAACATTGGAAATAGAAAACCTCACATTGCCCATCTCTTCATAACACATAGATATTTGAATATCTGCATGAATTGCTTAATTATATACATATGTATACAAATATGGATTTATATCTAATTTAAGTTTCAGAAATCATGGGAAAATCAAGTTAGCAAAACTTTGAGATGAAAGCACCTCAGTGTGGTTAATTTCAAGGCAAAAGTATTGCTTGAGTGCTAAATCTGGAACAGAAATAGGATTACACATGTTTTTATTTCAAGTCCTTACGGTGGCTCACATTTTATTAAGCAGGGCATATACCCTAGTCTCTTAAAGCATCATCATATTTTGTAAGTGAGTTTTTCCTACTACGCATAAACATGAATGTGGCACTATAAATTAGACTGTATTTCTGAAATTCTCCATTTATAGAGTAGACAATAGTAAGGAGGAAATATCTTCGCTCTTGCTCTCAGTGTGTCCCAAGGGCTCGGGTGTTGACAACTGCTCGCTCACGTGGTGGTGATGGGAGGTGCTATGGAGCCTTCGAGGGGCTGGGCCTTGGGAGGGAGAATTGCGAGGTCATTAAGAGAACTGCCACTGGAGGAGCTCAGGTTGATCTCCCGGGTCCTTGGCTCATTCTTGTAAGAGAGCTGTTAGGAGAGAGCAAGTGCGACCCCTGAATTTCTCCGTGGCTCTCTGTCTTGTTGTCTCTCTATCTTGAACTTGCTCATACCACGACAGCAGCTGCCACAGCGTCATGTGAGCAATGGGGTTCTCAGGATTCAAAGTTAGCTAAATAAACCTTTTTTGTATATTACCCAGCCCTATATATTTTGCTATAGTAATGAAAAAATGCACTAAAAAACACACTAACATAAATCCGTGCTTATTTTATATGTGTGCATATGTACTAGACATGTGTATGAATATCATATATGTGTATTTTGTTGCAATTAGCGGAGTGTGGTGGCACACATGTTCTGGGAAGCCAAGGCAGGACAGTCACAAGTCTCAGCCCAGCCTGGGAAGTTTAGGGACCTAGCAAGGCCTGGTCTCAAAAAAAATATCGGGAGTATAGTTCAGTGTAAAAGCCCTGGGTTCAATATCCTGTACTGCAAAAATAAATACAAAGATTTTGATGTTTACTCTTTATGTAATCCTCACTCCGATTCTCATTTATCTCACTCAGTGCTATTCTAAACCTAGATAAAGGCAGAAGTGGTAAGGGCTACCAGTCAGCAATATGACTATACAGTGTTAAAGTAGGTTAATATGATGACCAGGGCTTGAAGTGTCACTCAGGAGACAAAGCTACTTAGGTATCATAGGTAAGTGACTTCAGCCTTGCTTGACTTGCAAATACGGAAACAACTTGGGTTATTTCTTATGAATGCTTACATTAAAGAAAAACAGAACTTAATGTAAATCAATCATACGAAGCCACAACACTTTATTATAAAAACGTAAAGTTGTCTAGGGACTTTCCAATAGGACAGACCAAGTAAGGTTAACTCTATCACTGTAAGCAATCAAATAATTTCATTTTCCTTCTGCATTTTTTCCCACAAATACTTGCCTTAACACTTCATCATTGGTACACTAAGACTCTTTTCAGCTTATTATTTCTCAATTCATGAATTGCTCCTTACTCAAACTCGAACATAGTATTGTGCTTCAGATTTTTCTTTAACAGTAGGAAGCATTAAAGCATGATTGTCATTGTAAGTAAAGAATAGCTGTGGAATTATCAGGGATATAAAACTCTCACAGTAAAGTAAATTATACTAGCTATTAATATTTCTCACGTTGATCTTAGAAAGAACAAGGGTATGACATAGACCTCAGAGTCATTGTTAAATCCAAAAAGATTCATCGCTTTTATTTTTGGCAACCATTCACAAAACTCATAATTTCCATTTTATGTGTCTGGTGATAAAGCAGCCTTGTCTACTGGAGGATATTACAAACTTCATCATGGGTGATGTTTTCTTCTCTTTGAATAATTTCTTATTAATAATATTTACCCTCTGCTGGAGCCCTATAAAATAATTACATAGTTCCCAAAATGTCACATGTGTACTACCAAAATTAGAGTCATCTGGGACAAGATCAAAGCTATACAGCAGCTGCCTAGGTATTCTCACAGAGCTACCAAATCAGGGGCTCTGGGCACCTCTGATGAACTTGGCACTGTAAATAAGGACCTCAAATACAATTGTAGCTTGTTGTAGTGTGTGTTATGACACATATCCTCCAACCACTGCCTCTATCCAAAATACCATCTAGGCTCAGGGTTGTTGGCTTCAAGCAGAAAAGATGAGATTCTCAGAGGTGAAAAGGCAGTAGATCGGAGCACAGCAGACACACCGAGTTCTCCAATCCGAGATTTTCTCGTGAGCATGTCAGTTGCACATAGTTGTTTGGCTTTTTTGGCTAGTGTGGGCTAGCAACATCATTAATGACATAAATTCTAGAAAACATAGATTCTGTGTTCCAAAGGACAAGTTAAAACTTTTAGCATTACTAACGATAATACCATATACGGAAGATATGCATGTGTTTATCATTTAGTACTGAAAAGTAAACTTAAAAGATAGTTTCCCTTATACAAATACTATAGATAAGGAAACTGAAGTTTAGATAGAAAGGTAACTTACTTTTTAAAAATTGAAGAGGATTTTAAAATATTAATGATTGAAATTGACTTACAATTTATGTACCATTTATACAAGCCATCTTAGAAATACAGACTTTGAACAAGGTTGCAAGTCAATGTTGATGTCAAGAGAAATAAGTTTATAAAACTTAGTAATAAAATATTATTTTCATTCTATTAATTAAATTAGATTTGAATTGAAATACTATCTGCACATTGTAAATTTTCCTTGGACTTTGAAGTTGATTTAGAAATATATGTTTCAAAAGTTAGGATATATTAAAACTACCATATGAAAACGGTATTCCAAGTTCCTCAATGTTCTATACAAATAAGTGTAATCATTTCTCAAAAAACACATTTCACCTTAGTTTACTTTCATAAAATATGTAAAGCCCACTCTCTAACGTGATAAGAGAAGCAGATACAAAATCAGCAGATTTCCTTTAATTTATATTTTTCTCTGAAGATGGTAAATGATATTACTAATTTATTCTGTCTAAAATTCAGATATCAAGATTATGTTCTATAAAATATACAATGCAAGAAATATATTATTGGATTTTCCAAGCATTACTTGATCTTACCTGCTGGTTTACAGGAAAGTTCCTGTTGATTTTTTTAATCTGAAATAATAAATAAATGAAGAAGTGAGAATAAAAAGAATTAAGTAACATATGAACCAAATATTTGTATAAGGCTCTCTTTTCGGTTAGTTAAGATATGATAATAATCTGTCGACATTCTGAAATCATTGCATATCTAACACCAATTACTTACTTGGCTCTTGCAATTATCCTAAATGTCATGCATAAACATTTTAAAAAATATTTCTATTTTATATATTTTTCATTTGTGGGAAGTCACCCTGTGTTTCCTTACAATGCTAAATGATTATCAAGAATGTGGAGCATAATATTCTGTAGTTTTGTTTTTCAACTTTGAAATTAGATAACATCCAATTAGTTTTAACATTCAAGAGAACGGAAGAAATGGAATAGTCAAACACTAAACAATAAAGTATATATTTGAAATAATTTCAGTCAGCATCCCAAACACAATGTAACATTTATTTAATGTAATTTAATGACTGGAATTTTATAAGAATTTAAATTAAATCTTTAAAGAGACCATTTCCTCTGTAGGCATATCATGGAGACAAACTTAAAAATGAAATGAAAATAAATATTATGTTTAGATAAATGAACTTGGAAGGCAAAAGGTTTTTGTTTAACAATGCTTTTCCTAATTAAAACCAATCATTATTTTCCACTGGTTTATGGAGAAATGCAATGCAAACTCAATATGGTAAAAGATATCAGACTGAACTCAGAATACTTTCACTTATACATTATTTTGTGGATTTATTTTTTTCTTTTTTAGTTCCCCTTTTTCTTCCTGGTGAATGTGAAATAATAGGCAATCTCCTGATATAGAGCACAAATTTGAAAAATAATCACATGGCTCCTCTATGAGTAAAGACTGATTTGCAGGATATTTGGCATTTAAAATACAAAAATAAAAGAAAATTTCAAAATATACATGTACAGAAATCTATGCTTCTTACATTTTTAAAATAATCTAAAATTTTTTTTTCATTCTTGTAAGAACCTGATCAGGACCTCTAAAACTCCTAGTACCCTAAGCAAAAACAAGACAATGTGGAAATGTAGATATTAAGAGCTGATTCTAACTTCATTTATTTATCAATCAAATTTATATTAATAGTGGCACTATATTTTTTGCTAGTGCTTATAGATTGTTATGAAGGATTATTAAATTCAACTAATATTTTACATGGACCTTTATTTTAATAGTGTACTGCCCAGTTTTAGAACTTTTGATTATTTTAATCTAAATAATCTTTTATAAAGTCTTGAAAACTGCAGATAGCCCTTGAACCACACCAGTGGCTGAGTGAAACTCCTGTTAATCACAGCACTTTGTTCTGCTAATCATCCTAGCCAGGGCTGGTGGTCCACTGCTGTTGCCCAGTAGAATGCTTCTTAGACCATCTGCTATATTTACCTATATAAAGCTGTTATATTGTATTCATTATTGGTTTTTCTTTACAGCTTTCTTTAGTATTTCATTCAGATCGATTAGTAACATCGGAATCTTACTATCTTTATCCTCACTGTAATGGTGTTGCATAATATTAATACAAGTAAGAGAAAATAAATTGTGGTGTGTACTTCCTACCACTCCTTAATTACTAGTTAAGAATATTGAAGCAATTGAGATAGACAAAAATTAAAACAAAAGGAAAGTAAAAGAAATGTACATTAATGATGACAGAACGATTAAAGAGTGAGGTATGCCAACAACTTGAATACAGCCTTAAAATACTAATAATTAGTATGTTAGCAAAGGCATATTCAGAAACCTGTGAAATTGTCTCTAAGAACTATTTGTATTCCCTTCTTTCCTTTCCCCTACCCATCCCACTTCCCCTCCCCCTTCCCCTTTGCCCCTTTTCTTCCTATTTCACATTATTTATTATACCTTTTAGTCTTTATTTACACTTTCAGTTACTCAGAAGGGAATGGAATTAATATGAGAAAATGAAAAAATGGCAACAAAGTCTTTGTAAATAGGGAGGGGTAGAGGGGTTGATGGGAGGGCAGGGGAATGGGGAAAAAATAAGAACCAAGGTAGATTACATAAAGATATAAATTTCTAGTGATGAATGTCATTATATTATGTACCTAAAATGTACCAATAAAATTAAAAACAAGAACTATTTTTAGATTTTTCTAACCTAAGACAAATATAATAAGGAAATAGTACACATTATTAATGATAGTAAAGTCAACTATTGAAGTAGTGACATGCTTTACATTGGAAACACTAATAAATTTTATTTGTCTTATTCATGTGATGTCACTAAAGCTTTCAACTTACACACTGCTTCCTATTTTATTTATTTTTAATTTTATTTTATTATTTTCTGAGGCTAGACCTATTTCCTCATTGCCCATCCTGACTTCTAACTCACAATTCTGCTTCCCCTTCAAAGTCTCAGTGACTGCAGGAGCCCACCATGTCCAACTGGACACCGTGTTTTCATAACGACCTAACTACATAATGACTTGTATTTGGACAATTTATCTTATCCCATGAATCTGAGTAAAAATATTCAGCTAAAATTCAGGTGACACTTAAAAATTGTTACCTATAGTGTCAATTTATTTGATGTTAGAACTTTTTTATTTTATGATGATAAACTGAGATTGTGCTGAGTGCCTTTACGCTGAGATACAACCCCAGCCCTTTTTAAATTTTTTATTTTGAGATAGATTCTTGCTAGTCTCTACTTGCCTGGGCTGAGTTTGAACTCTCTGCTCCTCCTGCCTGAACCCCCCAGAGTGATGGGATTATCAGCGTGTACCACCATGTTCAGGTTTTTTTGTTGTTGTTGCTTTTTTGTGTGTTTTAAATTGTGTTGCAGTAAAATAATTTACTGATGTCTATTCATGTAATAATGGAAATATAAATGCAGGTAACCAAACTACTGCAGCAATGAAAGATAGCAGCAACAATGTGGTTCATGCTTGCCATGGCATAAGGACCTGTGCACCCTGATGCCCTCATTCTGGCAGCAAGGAAAATAAATATAATTTATGTAGATTTCTCTTGCCAAGATTTTAAATCCATACACATTCAAATCCATTCAAAGATAATTCTAATATTTCTTACAGCAAATGGAGCAGAACAATATAGATTATTCCATTCACTATACTAACATTTTAAAATAAAACAATTAAGAAAAAATTGAAGTCTCACATTTCAAAAGTTCTCAACACACTAACATGTTAACCTACACATACTGCTTAAAAATGGCATGGACAATGTACTTCAATTAAGATCAGTGTGCAGTAAATATTGAATTATTTTATCATCCTAAACAATAACAAGTATGTCCAAAAGAGAATAGTGTATATTCATTAAAAATGCTCATGTTATTCTTTGATAAAAAAGCATACTTACAAAATGTTTTCAGTTACAAACAAGGTTTACTTTTGAAAATGTGTATATACATATGTAAGGAGTCATGTATACTCCTTTACTTACACATTCCATTTAATTTATATAAACATGAACACAATTTATTTTGAAATATACACACTTAGAAAGATGCAAGTACCACAAAGATAATTTTTAAAAAATATAGGGCTGGGGATTTGGCTCAGTGGTTCTGGCACCTGCCTCACAAGCACAAGGTCCCGAGTTTGATCCCCAGTACCAAAAAAAAAAATTATAAATGATTTTATTTTTGGCTTAGGGATAGTAGTATTTTCTTCTGCTTTGTTTTTCTCAATTTTTTGAAAAATACACATAACTTGTATAATTAAGAAATAATTCAATCAGTGCAATGCTTACTCTCTTAATAAGGCTATCTTACTGTATAAAATTCTGAAAATCTAAAATGCCATCAAAACAAAGCCCAAAATATAACTTTTTAAGGACAGATGTTTGCTTTATCTCTTCTCAGTCTGTATTTTGAAATCACTCATGACATTTTAAATGCTTATAACGATGCTCAGACCTTCCTAGTGCATATGTGAATACACACTGATACTCCTCAATTTACAGTGGGATCATAGCCTTTTAAATCCATGGTAAATGGAGAACATATTTAATACACCTAATCTAACAAACATCGTGGTTCTTCAACAGTACACTGTAGATTATTGCATGCCATATCTCTAGCCTGCAAATATATTTTCTACTAAATCTATTTTACCATTGCACCATGAAAAATTTGAAAAGTCTTAAAATCATTGTTAGTGATTATCTAGTGTTTACCAATTAGACATGGTTTATTTCTTTTGAATTTAGTCATATCCTGGGAACCCAAAAAAGTATATGAACTGCTTTCACTGGCAGTAATTTTTTGACAAATACTTATTTTATAAATGTAAAATTAATATCAATGAGACAGTTTAAATTTGGTAAGAAAGATATGTTGGAAATATTTATTAACTTCAATTTACTTTTTAAATAAGCCATTGTTCATACAATTGTGGTAGTACTGGATTAATTACACATACCAAAGTATTAAACTTTAACTAATACAGTAATACTTCAGTTCATGAATGCTTCTGTTCTGAACAATTCTGTTCCAACAAACGCATCCTGCAAAATTTTGCTTCCATTCACAAACTTGGTATCAAGCGACAAGATCGCATCCATCTTCCCTGAACGAACACAGACTTGGCCATCTTCCCCAGAATCGTGGAACAAATTCAATTCATGAACTGAGGTACCACTGTATGTTCTTAGTAATAAAATTAATTCAGAAAACAAAGTTTCAGGGCCGAGGATTTAGCTCCGTGGTTCTGCCACCTGCCTGGCAAGTGCAAGATTCTGAGTTCAATTCTCCATACCAAAAAGAAAAGAAAAAGAAAACAAAGTTTCAAAAATTGCTACATTTGTAAATAAAGCTAATTTTCAGCCATGGAAATTCTAAAATCGCTGAATCAGTTTAAGATTGTTCTTCAAATATGAAAAATGAAAGTTTTCCCAGTATGTTTTATGCTAAACTTCTTAGAAACTAATACTACCTATGTTTTATCTGGACTAACAAAAATAGCTGAGACTTTAATATAATGTTGAACAAAAG